AGGTGAATTCTAGTGATTTCTTTAACTAACGCGTAATTAACCATTTAATATTTTAGTCGCTTCGTTAAGGCTGCATAAATCACAATTCATTTATGTTTATAAATCTGTTTATACATACATATGTACTTATTCACATGTTTTATGAGTAATCTGTTGCTGATTATGGCAAGTCGACCGACCGACGAGCACTCGATTCGTTATCTATGTGTCATTATTTATCGATATACGATATATCACATAATAGCTAATGTAGTTAATACCGCCATCCGCCTTATCAGCAGCAGGGTACAAAGTTTATTCACAGCTCATTTGTCTGTTGTTGTTGTTAGTTTAAGTGTTTGCTGTTTTGGGCTTGGGCAATTTCACAGTTGAATGCTTAGATTTTTGGCCTTTGCATGCTTTAATCTACACTATATTTGTATAAGCTAATAATCAAGTAACTTTGTTTATTCTCTTCCCTACGTTCGGCTAGACGCTTAGTACGTTCATAAAAAAACCAAAAGAAAAACAAAAAACCGAAACAATATCCGTGAATCTCACTCGAAACAAAAAAAGAAAATCTATTTTGCACAGAAAACAAAAACCAAGCCCATTAATATTAATAACGCTCTCGCTAAAAATTAACCACAGGCTCGAACCACTAGTGCTCGAACGCTCAAAAACGATATACATATAATATCGTTGATCACAAACAATTTAAATTAGCTGTAATCGAAGGGACAATCGATAAACGTCACAATGTACGAGCTTCATAGTTGTTTAAATTTAGTTTTCTATGCAACGATCATTCCCGGAACGATTCTCATTAGTTGGCTGACTGGGCTGTAAGTATTTATGCTCGATCGAAGAAAAAACAAAAACCAATAATTAATTCAAATTTTAAATGTTAATTTCTAATAAAATTTGTATGAAATTTGCCTGCTTTCTGACTGATACTAAAATATATACCTCTTATTATTATCATTATCATTTGATTTGATTTTTCACGTTGTTTTCAACATAAATTTTGCATCGTGGCATAAATATTTAGCATCTTGTCGCTGGGAATTACCATATTCCCTTGGCTCTGCTCCACCTCAGCTGGGCTTCGAAAAAAAAGAGAACGAAAATTATAAGTTGACAAGCAACAAATGCTCAGCTGGCTCAAATTTACATTTTCTACATTTATACATATACATGTGTATTTAATTAAATTTCAATTTTGTATGTAGTATTTGCTTTTTGTAGATTTTTATGTTTTTTAGTATCCTTTGTAATGTCTCCGTTTAGTTAGTTAATTAATAATAACAACAACAACAACCATCATGCAATCCATTCTCAGAGTCGGTCTACCCTGCCTGGTGATAGCTTTGCTGGTGTTCTTCCTCTTCTTTGTGCTGTTGCCGTTGGCTTTCCGGACATCTGTGACGCTGCAGCGTGGCATTCTGTTCCTCACATTTAGTAAGTGCCGAGCTCTTTAAACAGCAGAGGTTGATCCTAACATGTTCGTCTGCTTCCTTTGTAGTCACCTATCCGAAGGGCCTTGACCTGAGCAAACCGCACAGTATTGGACTTTTTGCCACACGGAACTTCTACATCACTGTCAAGGATCACGATGAGGACGAGGATGGTGTGCGCATTGGCGTCTGGCATGTGCTGCCCAGGTATGCTGTGCACCGTTTCCGCCGAGAGCTCCGCGTGGAAGCTGACGTGGAGACGGCTTTTTCCAACAGCCAGCAATTTATGCCCACTCACCAGAGTCCCGACAGCCATGAGCTGGAACGTCTAGCGCCAGAGCTGCGTGCCGAATTTCCTGTAATTGTGCCGGAAAACGAGCAGCTCTTCTACGAGCGGCTGCTGCGTGTGCCTGGCGGCACTGTGGTTCTCTATCTGCATGGCAATACGGCCACGAGAGGCAGTGGCCATCGTTCCGAGGTGTACAAGCTGTTGCGGCATCTGAATTATCACGTTTTCTCATTCGACTATCGGGGCTATGCTGACTCGGATCCAGTGCCTCCGTCAGAGGATGGCGTGGTGCGGGATGCTCTGATGGTCTTTGAGTACATTGCCAATTTGACGTCGAATCCAATCTTCATCTGGGGCCACTCTTTGGGCACGGGCGTAGCCACGCACATGTGTGCCAAACTGGCCCACATGAAGGAGCGTGGACCACGCGGCGTTATACTTGAGAGTCCGTTCACCAACATTCGTGATGAGATCCGTCTGCATCCGTTCTCGCGGCCGTTCCGACATTTGCCCTGGTTCGACTATATGATCTCGCAGCCCATGTATGACAACCGACTGCGGTTCGAGTCGGACAAGCATGTTGGCGAGTTTCCTCAGCCAATTATGATAATGCACGCCGAGGATGATGTTGTGGTGCCCTTCCGTTTGGGCTACCAACTCTATCGAACTGCACTGGATACGCGCAGGCGCTCCTGGGGGCCAGTGGAATTCCATCGGTTTGACCGGACACATGGATACGGGCACAAGTATTTGTGCCGGGCTCCAGAGCTGCCTGGTCTGGTGGAACAATTTATAGAGAGCTATCGCAATACAATTTACTAGATGAAATGCGCCGCGGAATAAGTCTTAATTTATTAATTAACAATTAACGGAGTATTTTAATTTAGTTTTATACCGCCGCAATGTTACAAAATTTATCGCACGGTGCATACAAATTAAAATAGTCATTTCTAGGATACACAAGCAATGGACTTTTATTTATTAACTTTGGCGCGCTTGACATTAATTAGTGTGTCCACTAGATTTTTATTTCAGACAAGCTATCGATTGCAACTTGGAATTTAGATCAAATTTATGATTTCAGTTGATTGCGATTGGCTTCAGTGTGTGCACTCTTTTTTTCCTGCAATTTATCGAAATCTATCAGATACTAGCAATAACAGAAAAATCAAATTGTCGACGGGAGTGAACTGTTCAATAACATTATTCTGTTATTTGGAGTCAGGCAACAGCTGTTAAGGACTAATATTTATTTTAAACAAATGAAATCTTGACATTTATGTGACTTTTCACATCGTTTAAAATAAAGTACATGACCACTTTAAGTTTTTAATAACTCACATTTTAATTTTTTGTACAGTGATAACAGCATCGGCAACTCACTGTTAAGACTTTAGAAAATGTTAATAACATTGTAGCTGTTAGGCTAACTGCTAAACCAGGGCTGCCCTGGTACATTATTTTTACATCAGATCAAATATGGCGCTGGTGTGTTGTTGTCGCTGTCGCAATTTGGCCAAAATTAATTCGCATTAGACGCGTCGAACGAAACAAAAAAAAATTAAAAAAAATAAAAGCGTTGTCGCAGGAAGGCGAACAAAAGCAATATCCATCTGTGCAAAACACATGTAAAGTTCCTTTGAAAGCTGCAACGAAAAAACGGAGTTGCAGTTGAAAACGAAGTAGCCGAAAAAAATTGTGTCTACTCCTTGAAAAGGAGTTTAGTTGTTCGCTCTTCGTTCATGTTTGTGCGTGTGTGTGTGTTTGTTTGTGTGAGTGCTGTTCAAGTAAAGTGCTGCCGAAAACTAAATAAATTGAATTAAAATAGCGGCTTCCTTTCTGTCTTCACAAAAAAAGTGAGAAAGAAAACGCTGAAGAAACCTGGAAAAGTATAAAATACAAACAGTTTTATCGGCGATTCGGCCGCCGCCGCTCGATTTGAGTGTGTGTGTGTTTGTGTGCGTCATTGCCGCTTGCTGCAGCAGCAGAAGGAAAAGGGAGTAGCTGCCAGGCAGCAGACACCAACACCAACGCATTTTCACTCTGGTGTTAAGGAAAATGTTGTGGTAAGTTTCTTTTTGTTTTTGTTATTCTTTTCTTTTTCGTTGCTTTGCATTTATTTATAATTGCGTCTGCAGAGATTTTGAGGCGAATCTCCGACTCCGAGTTGGCCCAGTCGGCAGCAGTTGCATTTTCTGCGCATGTTTTTGCCCACGACTTCCGCTTTTTGCTCCCTTTTTAATGCGACGGCTGCTGTGGCAGCGGCGTCGCTAGCTGCTGCTGCTTTATTTCTGCTCCCCTTTTAGCCTCTTCTTCTTTTACACAACACGCCCTTTTTCGCATGCCTCTCTGTATATGTGTGCGTGTGTGTGAATTGGCGAATAATTATGTTTTATGCTTTGCTCGAATGATTAAAATTCGTGTACAAATTTCGCATTTGCATTTTTGTCTTCCATTTATCTACCTTTAACAGCTGTCACTTCTGTAGATTCTAAACCAGTTTTTGCATTCATTTAACATAATTGTGTGAGTGTGTGTGTGTTTGTGTGTGCCAGCTGTGTCCTGTGCTTGCTTTAATTGTTTTTAATGCATTTCCCCTCGGCTGCTCCAGCGTCTTGACCAGCTCGTTCTCTTCCTATTCTTCGGTTGTGCTCATTTTGGATGCTTGTTTTTGTGTGTTGCTGGGCGCAGGCTCTCATTCTCTGTCTCTATTTCTCTCTCTCTCACTTGCTCTCTCTCCAACTCCTTTTGAATGTTGCCAAACAAACAAAATCCAGCGTTGCCAATTTAAGAGCATGTGTGTGAGAGAGAGAGAGAGAGAGAAAAAGGCGAGAGAGAGAGAGAGAGACAGAGAGCGACTGATAAAGAGAGCGCAGCGACGCGGGTGGGGCTATTGATATTTCCACTTCTCTTTCATCTTTATCTTGTTTGTTTGAACTTTAATTTATGCCAGCCAAAGTTGGCTTTGGTTTCTTCTCTTTGCAACTATTTAAATGTCAATGCACCGCGGAGGCCCGATCCGGGTTGCCCCCCTCGCTCCTTTGCCACCCACGAAATGACAGCGCCAAGTTGCATCACTGAACTCGCCACATGACTCACTTTTTTTTATTTTTTATTTTTTTCTGTTCGTTCCCTGCCAAATGAAGCGGGCCAAAGACCCGCAGCTAACTCACACATACAAATTGCTGGACTACAAAGAAAAAAAAAAACCCAAAGCTATAGGCAAAACCAGTTCCCAAACAAAAACAATCTAAATCAAAGTACAAATTTTGCTATTAAAGTTTGCAAAGTTGAATTTATTTTGCATTTCAATAGCCCTTGTTTTTGTAACTGTTAATGCCAGTGTTGCATCGCTGCTGTTGTTACTCCTGTAGTGAGTTTATTATGGTGTTTGGTGCTCCATGGCTTGCTGTTGCTGTGATTGCCAGTGTTGCATAGCAGCTGCTGCGACTACATATTTTGATATTCCCCATTTATTAATAATTCAATTTCAACAGAAATTCAAGTTAAACAATATTAGCTTAGTTTTTGTACCAAGTAGTGGCAGCAGCTGCAATTGGGGTCGCGCCACCAATAGATAAGATAAGAAGTAAAACTGAAATATTTATGTACATATGTGTGTGTGTGTATCATACAAATTTCTTGTTTTTATCAGCCATGCGTCCCCCTTCGGTATCTTTGCTCCCTATTTGCTTGCGTAGTTGTGTATCTTTGGATATTTTAACGATGACTAAAACTTTGGGAGAAAGGAAAAAAACACACAAAATTCAAGAAATTGCTACAAAAATTTCCAAGTATTCAACTATATTCACATTGTGGCTCACCTCCGTCTCTTGTTTATGTTTTGTTTATGCGTTCGCAGCGTCGACGTCAGCGTCGACGACGACGGCGACTGCACTGAATCATAAACTTGCTTCGGGCTTTGCAGTGACTAAACTTTAGTGCGTGTCATAGCAGCCAGCCTGCGCTACAGATCAATGCATTGAACTCGGCCTGCGTCGCGCAAATCTAATTAACATTTCCGCTTTGCTGGTCAGTGCGACCCCTCCTGCTCCTCCCCATCCTACACAGCATCCAATAAAACTACATTCCATTTGGTTTTGTGTGCATCCGTGCTCGTTGACAATGCGGGTAAACCCACAAAAATATATATCGTAGCCTGCTTTTGGTTTATCTGTCTGGGAAATGATGCTGGGTGGTCAGTTGCATCTGGATGCCTGTCGAATGAGTTTATTGAACAAGCAGAAAGAAAACAATTGCATTGCTATTTTATTTACTTACAATATATGTATATGGAATATATATGTATGAATGTTTTATCAATTTTATGGTGTGCCAAACGCCAGCTGCATAATTCATAGGCCTTCGTAAGTCTTGGGCCTGTCTTCACCGCCTTCGCCTTTGCTCATCGGATGCATGGCACGTGTTTTGATTTTCATTACGGCTCACAACCATATAATCGCTTTGAGCTAAATAATTTCTATATGATTTTATTTATTATTTGGTTTTTGTTAATTTACTTTGTTTAATTGAGCAAAGTAAGGAAATGACTCCTCCTCACGCTTGTATTTCAAACGGTTTTGATATCAGCTATCGGCATGGAATGTTTGTTAGTTTCACATACATACAAATGTATATATAGTTGTATATTCCCGTTTAAAAGTTGAGAATTTCTATGACGAACAAAAGAATAGCTCCGCGGCCATATCAAGCGCAAATTGTGTGGCCTAAAGTATTGAGGAAAAGCTGTTTGCCTTATTTAGTGCGCATTAACCGCAGAGGAGGAGAGAAGCAAGGCAGCGCAGATTATGCACTGTGCACATGAATACCGATGAGTCTAGAGAGTCTGACTGCACAGATATATGCATATATATATATATATATATATATATATATATATATATATAAGTGTAATATATTCGTATGCGTGATAAACATGTACCGCTCATATGGCATAAATTGTAGATACAAATACAAAATATGAACGAACTGAACTGCACAGATAAGCAGAACGGAGAATGAAATTCGCTTAAGTGGCAGCTTTTCAGGCGTTTCGTTCCATTGTCTTGGCTATGCATTGGAGGCCAGCGCAGTGGCTCAAGTACGGGCAGACACAGACACAAATATAATATATATATACACTATATATACATATATCAAGAAAATCATCATTCACAATCCTAAACACTGCAAGCTGTGTGCCGTGAAATTTGAGTTCAAATTTGCAGTACACTTAGCGAAATTCTAGAGTAACAATTAAAATTCTTAGATACCGGGAATTCTAAATAATTGTGTAAATATTTAGAGATTATATGTGAGTAGAGTAAAGTCTGTTTTAAGGGATAACTCTTTGTAGAATTTCTTAATATTATTCGATATAAAGGTATTTGTTTAAATTTGTATTTGCGTTCTAGAGATCTTTGACTATGATTTATATGTATACTCTTCATGTGTTATGTTATATTTATATCTTTTTGCCCCACAAATCTTTTGTTCTCAATGAGTTGCATTTAAAGGCCAGCCACAATTTTTTACGGCCTAAAAATTTTACCACAACAAACAACAGACTTTAACATAGTAGAGAGAACTTGAATTTAGATTCCATGTGTTGCCCCGCCTTCTGGTTCCTTTTCAGTAACTTTTCGGTCTGACGCTTGGTAAAGCACAGTTACACATATATATTTATTTATACAGATACACATAGGTGTATGTGTATATACGCTTGAAGAGCATTAAGATGTGTCTTTGCTGAATCTGGCAGCAAATTCATTTTAATTAAATCCAAATATGTTTTAAGTTAGCGGCTAATTTAAAAATTTCTATAAGAGATCTAGAATGTCCAGCAGATGTAATTGATTAATAAATTATTTATAGATGCATTATTTATTCATTCAAAAATAAACATGATAAGATAATTGTATAAGTGATTAGTTAAAATTTGCTATCGGACTTATTCTTAGTTTGAGCATCATATATAGTCGATGATATATAACTCTGGAAGTAGATAGTATTCCACGCTTTAAGTTAGTATTAGTATTTATTTAAGCAAAAATATATAAAAATGATAATAAAAATAAAATTTATATGTATATATTGTTAATTCAACTAAAAATGAAAATGAAAATGATAATCAAAAAAGTAATAATAATAAATTTAAAATATCATGCACTTTTTACATTGAATTTTGTACTTCCTCCCTTTCATTTGTCCGCACGGGAAGTGCCGCATGTGCTGATTAAATAGAAATCTGTGGAGTGGGCAGAAATTATAATAAAATTGACCGAGGCTGATATGAAGTCAATAGCTTGCATGATGCACATAGCCCATTCCCCTTTGGTGGGTCCCTTAGTCTCCATTTAAAGTTCTTCGGTTCGCACTGCGTCACAAAGAGGAATTGCAAGCACTTGAAGTGCTTCCGCTCGCTGTAGTTGGAGCTGGGGCTGGGGCTGGGACTGGGGCTGGGACTGGGGCTGCAGTCTGAATTTTCACAGCCATCCAACGGGTTTCGTTTTGTTTTTACTTGCTAAAAGCTGACGTTGAAGTTTTCATCTTGTTTTGATTGCATACAAATACTCGGCTGCAATTGAGCCCCTGACACACACACACAAGCATGCACACACACACACACACACACCCATACAGAAGCACAACTAAGTTGTCGACTCTTTGGGGAAACGTTGGCTAAGTGCCGGGACTTTCGGGAGCGATTTCCTCCCCAATACTTGAGACGAACATAAATAAATTGCTCGCAAGTTACCTGCACTTTTTCTTTTTCTGCAGAAGGATGATACCCTGTAATATGACAAGTGTGCATGAGGCATTTTAAGAATACCAATTTCGACTCATGCGAGTCATAACATATCAATATTTGACTCACAACATACTGACTAATTGTTTTCTATCAATTTTTAAACATTTCCGTTTTGCTTGGAATGTCGCACTCGCTTCCCCGATTATAATTGCGTGTCATAGCAGCCAGCTTGCATATGAATGCATTGCATTTCTGTCTGGCCTGCTAAATCTAATTAACTTTTATGCTTTACCTGCCAGTGTGACCATACTGCTGTTGTAATTAATTCAGTGGCTTTTTATATAACTTGGGTATTTTATATGAGTAATATTATATATTATATATATGAGGCAGCTCATTGATATGTTTTTGAATGATTTCTTCTTTTACACGAACTGGCTAAACCTTGACCTTTATGCAGCTATAAATCGGGCATAGTATAGGGCGTAGTATTCACTGATATTTCACTCTATATTTTCAAATTTTGCAATCAAATCTTTTAAACTTTTGCATAGCTAACTCTAAACCAGCTTTAAATAGACAATCTGGGTCGTTTCTACCGTAAGTTATTTCGTGCTAAATTGATGTTTATCGCTGCTGTCCACTTCTCTGCTTTCCCAGCAGCCCTGAACGAGCTGATTATGTTATGATTGAGATAGTTTTATGTCCGCTTCTTAGTTCAACTCCATGGACAAGCTGAGAGGCGATAGCTAGGCTACGGGAAGTTGTTGTTGTTGCCCCATTGTGTCGTGTGTGTAATGTAATAATAGATCTTTTAGGTCTATTGTTGCGCCCTAATTCGTTTTATTTGTTGTTATTGAAATATTTGTTTGTATCTGCATTCGTGAGTGAAGACTGTGTAAAATTGAGTATCGCATGTCTGGTGTGTATGTGTGTGTGGAAAGTATTATTCAATAATTATCGAAGAGTTTCGGCTCGAGTTGCCCCCGCTTCATTTAATTGACGCGCTGTCTGTCCGCCAGTGAAGCAAAACACCAACTGCAACATGTTGTACATGTTGTTTAATAATAAATGTGTACACACCCCACACTCACACACACACACACACATATTCACACTCAGACAGACATTACTCATAGTCTGGCCAAAGATCGGGCACGAAATGGAGCGTGCCAGAGAAAATTCATATGCGTGGTTGGCTGATTCCCCCGATTCTCTTTAAGGGTCAATTTCAGCTACAGTCGAAAACAGAAACAAAAGCAATCAAAGTTCAAGCTGAGAGTGAAGATGTGATTACAAGTTAATTGCTTGTGGATGCAAAACATTGTTTATATTGCCAGCTGAGAAGCCCCAGTCATGGTAAAATGCAAAAATCTCGTAACGCTTGGCTGACGATGTCAATATTTTGATATGCCTGGGAGTTTTTGCTTTTAAAAGAGTTTCTGAATGATTTAGCTTAGAATTTTAGGTCATTTAAGAAGAAGAGCTGGACAGATCAAATAAGTACAAGGCAGAAAAGAGCTAAAATATATGTGGGTCATTTACCTAGAAAAATAGGACAGATCGAAGATATAAAGAACTGAAATAATTGATTTGATTAATTGATTTTCTAAAGACTTTCTGAATGATTCAGCTGATATTCAGGACGAATGGAAGTTAAAATGAAGTGAAATACATAAAAAAAATATAATTGCAAATTCCAAATTCCAAATTTTTTGCTTCAAAAGAGGTCAAATGCAGAAACCTGATCAATTCTTTTTTACTTCTTGAACAAGTACATTAACATCTGCAGCTTTTTTTACTCATACAGAGCTTATGCAATTTTTAATCACGCTGAGCTATTTAAGAGGGGACAGAACCCTTCCGGAAAAGGTTAAATTGCCAGCACGGGCTTAATTAGCGGTCTTGTAGCAGGCAGCTATGGCACTTCAATGCAAATGCCGCAGCAAAGTTAAAAGTTGAAGCCCTGACGGCGACTTTGAAGTTGCGACCCAAATTCAGTCGCAATTCAAATTAAAGCACAATTTTTTGGCCAGCTCCAAGCCAAGAGAGAGAGAGAGAGAGAGAGAGCCCGAGATATTAAGAGACAGACTGACGCAGAGACAAAGTCAAAGACAAAAGGGTCCGCATGCGCTGGCTCGAATATAAAAAAAAACCCGTTTTGGAATCTAGCCGACCATGGCAACTGCGACACAGTCGCCAGTCTCGCCTTGGCCAAAACGAGTGCTAAAAAGATAAATGGATGGCGGCGACAAACAAGTAAAACAAAAAAAAAAGTTAAGCGGGATTTGTTTAGAGGCGATTCGCCGTCTGCTCGAAGGCAGGGATTATGCTCTCCAGTCAGTGACGTTGATTCAATGTTTGTTTAGAACCTGCTGAATTACAAATCCAACCAAGTCACGCGAACAACCACAACAGAACGAAAATGGGGCGGAAATTTCCATGTGCAATATGCGACCAAACAATTTGTTTTTGTTTTGTGTGTGTGTGTGTGTTTTTTTTTCTGTATGCAAACATTTTGTTATCCTTTGCGAAAGCGTAAAACTGGAACTGAAGTTGAGAAATATGGGGTTAAAGCTCTGACATCATTCTTGAATAAACGCCACGTAGGAGTCATGAAAATTCCTGGAAATGTGCCCTTTCGCATGAATGACAAGAACGTGTCTAACATCAGGCAGACGATGAGTGTTTTATAACCGATTAGATGTGAGTGTCTAAACAGCCAGAGATGATCCACTTGAGTTCCTAGCTAGAGCTTATAGTCTTATACTAAGCTAGCTGTGAATTTTGTATAGCTGATTGGAGAGTAATGATGAGCAGTTGAGAATGTAGAGATATATGTCATAGGTATAATCAACTAGGGATGAGTGTCTTATATCCTCTTATACATATTCTTAGATCTTATACTCGGCTAGCTGTGAAACTTTTATACCTGATTGGAGGGTAGAGAGTACAGTGTAGTAGGGTAGAGCTGAGAGCTTTATCCTCTTATATTCTCAGTAGAGCATGTCTTATACTAATTTATAGCTCATTAGAGAGCGAGTAGAGGCGAGCAATTTAGAGAAGTAGTGTAGAGCTGAATGTCTTATACCCAATTAGAGCTGACAGTAATACTTATGGCTGTAGATTAGGGA